AGAAGTCCTTGAGGATCGATACTTGGATACTCCATCCATTTTATATTACTCTGACAGGTGTGCGCTTGCATCTATATAATTGTTACCACGCTTAGTGCGTGCGTTCAGCATAAACACCCAGTCAGTAGCCATGCGAGAATATGCAGCTACAGCCTTCTAGAACGTGGATTCAATCATTTTGAACCCTATTCTAGAAACTGCCAACCTCGAGCTTAAGCCGCTCATGTTTCAAATGCTTCAAACATTAGGACAATTTGGAGGGCGTGAACATGAAGATCCTCATGACCATCTCAAGACATTTCTTCAAATTGCAAATGCTTTTAGATTGCCTGATAACTCTGATGATGCTTTGAGATTAACTCTTTTCCCATTTTCTCTCAGGGATCAGGCGAGAACGTGACTTAATTCTTTTCCACTAGGTTCAATCACCACATGAGATTCGCTATTGGACAAGTTCCTTACAAAGTATTTCCCTCTTACTCGCCATGCTGACATAAAGGACGAGATTCTCACCTTTAGACAATATGATCGTGAACCAGTGCACGAGGCATGAGAGAGATTCAAAGAGTTGCTGCGAAAGTGTCCAAATCATGGATTACCAGCATGTATCCACATAAAGCACTTCTTCCGAGGTTTGGACCATCCCACTAAGATGATGCTCAACAATGCTGCAAATTGAGCTTCACAAAGAAGATATTCAATGAAATAGTTGATATTTTGGAGGACCTAGCATCCCACAATGAGCTATGGTGTTCTCAAAGGTCGAAACCTGCACCTAAGAAGCAAGACACAATAGGAGTGTTGGCATTGGATATCGCAACTTCGATGCAGAAAGAGATGGTGACAATGAACCAAATGCTCAAGAAGATGGCCTTGGACAGGAAGAATACATCGGCCACACCAGTACAACCTACGAAACCTGTGCGACCTGAATATACTGCCATTTCTCCTGTTTGCCAAATTAATGAAATTGTTTGTTCTTATTGTAATGATAATCATCTTTATGAGAATTGTCCGCATAATCTAGCTTTTGTTTATTATGTAGGTCAAGGGAACAATCGGAACTTTAACCCCTATTCAAACACGTACAATCCGGGGTGGAGACATCATCCCAACTTTTCATGGGGAGGTCAAGGAAGTTCCAGTGGAGTGACCCAAGGGCAGAACCAACAGTACAATCAGCCCTATGTTCCACCTATTTACCTGAATAATCAACCACCACCGCAGCAGTTTACCCAGAATCAACAAGTTCCAATTCAGCCAACCCAGAATAATAATTCTAGCCTCGAGAATATGATGAAGGAGTACATGGTTTGAAATGATACAGCGATGAGGAACCTAGAGAGGCAAGTGGGACAACTTGCCAATGATTTGAAGGCGAGACCGCAAGGCTCTATTCCTGGACATACTGAAGTTCCAAAAAGATATGGAAAAGAACAATGCAAGGCGGTAACTTTGAGAAGTGGATTGTCTTACGAAGGACCAAAGATGCTGGTTGAGGTAAAAAAACCTTCCACATCAATTCAAAATGCTCCTAGTGAAGCAAAGAAAGAAAAAACCACCTCGGGTGAGGGGGAGGCGTCTGGCTCCTCTCCACAAAAAAAATCATCTTTTGCCCCGATTCCTCCTTTCCCTCAAAGATTAGCCATGAAAAACCAAGAAACTCAATTTAGAAAGTTTTTAGACATCCTCAAACAACTTCACATAAACATTCCTTTAGTTGATGCCTTAGAACAAATGTTGAATTATGCTATGTTCCAGAATGATATTGTTTCTAGAAAAAAGAAGTTAGGTGAACTTGAGATGATAGCTATGACCAAGTGTAGTAGTGAAGCTGTAGGTAGCCATTTGCCAAATAAAATGTAAAGATCCCGACAGTTTCACCATCCTTTGTTTTATTGGAGGAAAGAATTTAGGTAGAGCTTTATGCGATCTAGGTGCTAGCATTAACCTAATGCCCCTATCTGTTTTCAAAGAATTAGGCATAGGAGAAGCTAGACCCACTACGGTTACCCTCCAATTAGCAGATAGACCCATTAAGAAGCCTGAAGGAAAAATGGAAGATGTTCTAGTTCAGGTAGATAAGTTTATCTTCCCTGCATACTTCATCATCTTAGACTGTGGGCCGATTTGGATGTACCTATCATCTTAGGTAGACCCTTCCTAGCTACAGGAGATACAGTGTTTAATGTACGAAAAGGAGAAATAAAAATGAAAGTTAAGTTTAATATTGTTTTGGACACAATGAAACTTCGAGGAGATTTAGAAGAATGTTCAGCCATAAGTACTTCGAACCCTGCTTCGTTTGATGAGTTTTATGATCTTTTAGTTACAGGAATTGAGGAAGAACTAGAGGCTGTAGAAACTAAATGTCCAGAAGCTTTTTTGGAACTGCCATTAAAAAATTACAATAGATTATTCATTGCTATAGTTGGATGTGAAAGACATCTATTGTTCAAAACGAATTGTTCTTTACTATTTATTATCCATTTATTCTTTAAATTATATT